TCCTGATTCTACGACAAGATATCAATTCATTTTGTAAACTATTTCATTAGGATGCAAAGAAGAAGTTTTAAGATGTTCATATTTCCCTTTGTAATACTTTTATTCCTATTCATCAAAATATCTTGGATAAATGAAGCAACATCGATATAGAATTTGATTAGAATGCATACGAGATGGTTAAATACAGGTGCAGATCCAGGATTTTGAAAAGGGGGTATAGGGGCTGGCAAGCCAACATTTGAAAGTGATACTTGAAAACAGTCTATGCATGTATCATAGATGAAGCTGCATAAAGGGGGGGGGCCTACCCCTCTAAACATGCTAAACCCCCCCCCCCCCTTCTGAAATACTCAAAACATGTTGACATTTTTATGAAGTACTTTAACGATGAACACACCTTACAACTAAATCTGTAGTTAAGACCATATTTTTTCAATGCCGTCTCATTGACGCAAATAAATATATGTAGGTCCTAATACCTATTTCCTTTTAGGTGCGGATCAACGATATTTGAAAGGGGACGTAATTCCCGAAATCTGAATATAAACCGCGATTTATTTTTATATTTAATGCCAAAAAATGATATTTTTTTTGATCAAGAGGGGCGTACATTGTACGCCTTCTCTCACTCCCCCCCCCCCCCCCCCCCCCCCCCCCAAATTACGCCACTGCCTTTAGTCTCTGCGTGTAAAATTGTTTTACAAACACTAGTTACTTTTTAAATAGAAGCCATTTGACCTTTTGCATTTTAAACATACAAAATGGGTTTATTTCCTCAAGCATGTCAAGGAACATATGTTAGACATGTTAGATATTTTTATTAAATTCTCATAGAAATACGGTCACTGGTTTAACAACATTTTTTTATTCATTTCGGATGAATTTAGCCGTAAAACAACGATTGTAATCCCTCCGCCCGCTTAGCGGGAGATAAAGAGTATCGATTGTGTAATACCAAAAAACCCAAACAGAGCCTCTATTATGAAACCAACACTTCAAGAATGATACCCTTGTTATCAGTTGCCCTTCATGCATACTTTAGACCTTATGGTATCCATTATTTAAGGCGCCATATTTTAATTATTTTTATGGATATCTAATAAGCAGATGTTAACCCTGGTAACCTTCAAGAGGTCATTAACTGGACAGATTGACCATATAATGAAACAGAACAATGAGCTCCTTTATTTTAATTGCCTTTCGTTCGATAAATGTGTTCTTTGTTTCATTTAATTATTTACCAAAACACCTGTCATCACTTGAGACCAATTGACTGTCGACATTCCAGATTGGTGCAAAATTAAGATAAATACAATGGAGTAATGAAAGGACTGTAACCAAAAAACCCAACCGCAGTCACAACCCGATTAATTCAGTCCGGTGCTATCCGATGTCTACACCCTCGCAAACGGGCGAAACACGGATTCGGAGAAGGAGTTGTCGCAATTACAAAATGTGTTGTATCAATCATTGTCAATGGATTGCAATTGTTAATCAATAAATTTTATTTCTTGATTAACAGAAAAAATATAAATAATGCTAACTCAGACTGACAATTAACGATAAGACAGAAAATCTTAACTTGACCTTCAGTCGCTAAGGATATGCCGAGTACTGTTAAATCGCAATTAGCAAGTCATTCCAAGCTTGATCATTTCAGATCGGTATCGGAATTATCCGTGACGAACATAGTTAGGGGGGTCTATTTTACTACTTATATTCATTTTTGGTTAGAATAAATTTTAACTAATTTATTATGTTTATAGTAAACTAAATTGTGTATGAATGTTTTGCGTTTATATCGATAGACAATACAAAGTATTTCCATAAACCACAAAACATTTTTGATAAATACTAAACCACACTGACCAAAAATACTAGTACTACATTAACTTAGAGTACATTGGCAAATTCTTATGCGTATGACTTAAGTAATATAATATTCTTATACTTGTGAAATTCAATGTTTTTAATGGCTTCTTAATTTATCACAAGTTTCAGTTGAGGGTTCATGCCAGATGTAACACTTTTGATTTTGCAGACGTTTTCTGACGTCTTAGGTATCCGCCATTAATATTTTAAAGCCCGATTGTCACTATCAAAATTAACTTGGTAAAAGTTTTTGCTTTGACCAGATAAACTTGGTCCAAGTCATCTGTTGTCACTATCAAAGTTTTATATCAAAAACTTGGTCATTGAAAACTTTGACTAGTTGAACTTGGTCCAAGTCATCGGTTGTCACTATCAAAGCATTAATTTCATTAAAAACTTGGTAAAAAAATATTAAAACTGCACTGTCATGACTGTGATTGAATAATTCCCGTCTAAAACCATCCAAGTTTCAAGATAAATAAGATGATATTCTATTCATTCCAAATCCGTCAAAATTTTTGTTTAAAGTTTTCTTTGACGGTTTTGCACTATAAAATGATCAATCAAAAAACTTTGACCTAGAAAACTTGCACAAGAAAACTTTGATAGTGACAGCGGGGCATTAAAAAAGGGGTCAGGACATTTTTTCTTCTCTCTCGGGACTACGATTTTTCCCACAAAAATAACAGCAAAAGACATTTATCAATGACAGACACAAATACCGCGTTCTAAATCGGTGTTGTTTTTTTTATTCATTTTACCATTTTTAAATGAGAACAAATTATGTTCTTACTTCCCTCCCAAAACATTTTTTTTGTATCAAGAAATTTAGAATCAAGCAATTAGATGTCTTTTTGTTAATCGTGTCAGCGACGTGGACTATGCTTGATAAGTTACATAGCCTGGGATTCTGGCTCACTGCTCGACAGTAATTTAGCATTATTGATTATAAACTGGTCTGCCGTTCCATCTAAAGCTCATCTCCGTTAGTGCAGCGATAAGTGAATACAACAGGTGTCCAGTTTACATCACGTAGAAAACACGACGGTACCAAGATGACAAATAATGTTTTATTCAGAACAAAACTCCTTGGTATGACAAATACATTATGTAAAACACTTAGAACGCATGAATTTTACATCCTTGAATTCTAGTCCGAAGCACTTACTTTTCCTAACCATTTAAGGATTGATATATACTAGTACACTCATTACCGAGCATAAAAAATGCACTTGTCAATATATAAGTAAAATGGTATTTGTAATCCAAGTGCTTGTGGTTGTTGTGGTAACGCAGCCATATTAGGAATAAAATGTCAAACTGATTCGTATCATGTTTGAAAAATGTCACATTATATAAAAAATATGATAAATATAAATTAAATTTTAATTTCTGTGTAAATAAATGAGTTTAGAAAAGCTCGTATTTCCAATAGAACACACTTTATTTGTTTAGGGTTTTCTCCTTTGGAAAATATGGTAGTTATGTAGAATTGTATTGTTATTTTATTGATTTTTTACCTTGAGCATATTGAAAACATCTTCATATGAACTACTAAAGGGCCAATACAATCTTAAAGGAACACATTTTGAAGCATAACAAATAGAGTTCGCAGCGAATCCCAAAACACCAGCGTTTTTCTATTTTGACCAAAAGTATATATGTGGATTCTGTATTGCTTACGTTCTGGACTGTTTAATAATATGATAATTGGAAACGTGTACTGCACAAAATGTGAAGAAGAAGACACAAATCTAATTATTTTCAAGATTTAAAGGGTACGCCTATATACCCTGAATTTGATTTGTTTCACTCATTTTGAGTCTTAATGTTTTCGAAGTTGATGAACCTAAAGGAATTCGGATATTAAACATTTACGATTTCCCATGATCATCTGCAAAAAATTTTTGAAAGAATAACAGTTTAGTATTGGAGATACACGGACAATCGGAAACAGTAGTTAATATGCATTAGATACAATACATAAATACACTATCTAAAAGAATTTAGATCTTGGTTTGGTTTGGTTTTAATTAGTTAGCCTTCCTGTTCAACTTTTATATTATTTTCCAAAAATTTGACAAAAATCTATCACAAGTTGCAATGTTTTGTTAAAGTATTCTATTAATTGATTAAAAGGTTTTTAATGCAAGACATGTAGTCAGGTGACGTGTTTAACCTAGACCTAAAACTGTGATGATGTGAATGTTATTATTTTTTTATTTATCTATTTATTTATTAAGAAATGCACATTTATACCCCGAGGTGTTGAAGTCAAACGATTTAAATTCTTTGTTAGAAAATAACACTACTGCCGAAATCAAAACAAGGGGACGTTTTCAATTTTTTGTTTTGATTTTTTTTCTAATTCAAATCTTTACATTTGCACAAAAGGAAATGGTGTTCTGCATCGTCAACGTTAACATAATGCGAATTAGTGTCAAAAATAATCTAAATAGGAAATCGATAAGAAGGAAAACTAATGCCGAACAGTATGTTCAATAAAACTAGTATTATATAATAATAATATACACCCTCGCTTCTGTCTCAAACTGGCGAATCTATCAGGGCAGGACAGCTCATTAAATATTCAGTAAAGTATTTTCAGTATATCAATGTAAAAGAAACTTTATCACAACGAATCAAAAAGCGATTACATAATATAAATTAATTAACGTCTCTCGTGCTGGGAGTTCTCGATCTTAACAAGTATTTCACCAGAAAAATATTATAGTTTTGCATCATTTATAAATAAAATTTAGACAATCTTGGTCAATCAAAATGAAGGAAAACACAAATATTGAGTTTATAACTATTTTCAAGAGAGTGAAGTAATTAAACAACACCGATTTACGTTTTAATCTCCAGTCATACATAGACTGATCAATTGTAATCATAATAATCATAAAAATCATTGATAACATGTGGCCGCCTAACATCCACGTTACATAAATACTTTTTTCAACAAATATAATAACACTAGTCACCGCCATGTATCAATTTTGTTCTACTAAACTAAGCTAAAAAATAATTTCCCACGAGTTCATGGCGTTACCAATACTCCATAACACTCACACACATATGATTAAAGTATAATTATTGTATAAAATATTAAAAATATAACTTACATTTCATCTATTAATTATTGATAGTAATAATCCACGTGTTAATTGATGTATAAATCTGTGATTTCTGACGAAATTTCTTCACAATCCTTTGTTTACGCTTTACAAGTGGGAGGATCAAATTTCGTGACACGCCGGGATGTCAAATTGCTTCACCAGCTGACAAACATCACGTGATCTCCAAAATCTCAAGTGCCGCCGAGTCATTATAAGAAGGATATACGTGCTAAATAAAGTGTATGTATGTTCTTTGTAAGTCACAATTACTGGTAAAAGTTTAGAAATAAAAAGAGGATTTGACCAACAACAACCCTAAAAAGCCCCCCCCCCCCCCAAAAAAAAAAGTCATTCCAAGCTTGATCATTTCAGATCGGTATCGGAATTATCCGTGACGAACATAGTTAGGGGGGTCTATTTTACTACTTATTTTCATTTTTGGTTAGAATAAATTTTAACTAATTTATTATGTTTATAGTAAACTAAATTGTGTATGAATGTTTTGCGTTTATATCGATAGACAATACAAAGTATTTCCATAAACCACAAAACATTTTTGATAAATACTAAACCACACTGACCAAAAATACTAGTACTACATTAACTTAGAGTACATTGGCAAATTCTTATGCGTATGACTTAAGTAATATAATATTCTTATACTTGTGAAATTCAATGTTTTTAATGGCTTCTTAATTTATCACAAGTTTCAGTTGAGGGTTCATGCCAGATGTAACACTTTGAAATCTTTGTAAGTCACAATTACTGGTAAAAGTTTAGAAATAAAAAGAGGATTTGACCAACAACAACCCTAAAAAGCCCCCCCCCCCCAAAAAAAAAAAAAAACGAACAAAGAAAAACAAATAAAAAAAAGAACCTTCTTTTAAAAATGTAACATTGGAGAAAAAAGTTCTAGAATAAAGAATGACATTATTATTTTCCACATAGTATATTTTTTTTAATTTTCAAATGAAAAAAAATTCCAGTAGAAACAAAACCCTGTTCTCCAAACAGCGTCAAATGCTCTCTTAAAATCCACTATAGTGCAAAATTGCTTTTACCCATTGGAAAAATTTAGATAAAATTTACTGCGACACCAAATATAATCGGTAGTTGAAAACACTGTCCTAAATCCAGCCTGCGAAACTATTTGATTTTGTTTATTAATGACGATTTTTTTTTCTTAAACCATGATGAGTTTAATGTTACACCTCTATACATGTAATTTGCGGATTCTGCTTTCGAACATTTATTCTTAAAATAAGAATTCTTATAGCAAGGGATAATAACTCTGGAACTATACCCGTATCTAATACTAAATTAAAAAGTTTAACGTATATTGGCATAAGATTATATCTAGGCTACAGAACTTTTTTTCTACATTCATTAATTATTTCGTCACAGCCGCCAGCTTTTTTTCAAGTTTTATTAACACATTTTATTTTTACGTCTTTGGTTACAGCACCATTCAATAATTTATACAAATTCATCTGGCAAATTATTTTCATTAAAATTAACCTCTGGTTCCTCAGAATTTGAGTCACATGTATTCATATCTTTGATAAAGTCAGAGAGAGCTTCAGACGATATTTCATGATCTGCACCTTATTTTTTGGACCCAATACTTTTAAGATATATCCACAACTTTTTACTATCTAATTTTTTAGTCTTGCGAATATTTTGTTGGTACAGTTCATATGCTTTAGAAAGTAAAATTTTATAGCTTTTGCTTGCATTTTTCCGATTTGTTTTCTTCGATTTTCAGCATTGGTTAAAATTATACATCGGGTTCGCAACTTTGTCGGTGGATTTTAATGACCAAGATAATCTAAATAGATACGATAATGTTTTCATATATAATTTATAGTATTTTTTAATCGAAATATATAATTACAAAACACTGTATACATTTCGAAATTCTATATTCACGGCGTAAAAACAATCGGGAAAATACCTAAAATTTGATATATATTGATATCCGTGGGCAAATGCTCGACATCAGCAGTAGCCCGTATGTTTAACTTTTCTAAGAAGGTATGAGTTCCTAGAAGTATCATAAATTTACGCCAGCCTTTGTTTGCGTGATTTTTATGTGGAAAAGTTTCTATTTATATTTCATAATTTATTAGTTTTTCATTTTCGGATACTTTTATTTTGGGTTTCGGTATCAGTGCAACTTAACAGGAAAGAGGCTCGTGGAAAATAGTTAAACACTGAAAACATAAATTAGTCAATTTGACCAATTTAATTGGTCATTTTGACTGTCCTCTAGATGACAATGCACTTTAATCATTTTGACTATGCTGTTTGTCGTTTGACTAGATGGGTAGTCACATTTGACTGAGTAGGGTGGTAATTATGACTATGTTTGGAAGTCAAAATGACCATATGTTATACTCGTTATGACAAATTGGATTGTTCAATTGACTATGCACATTTGTCAGTTTGACAATTGATTGCAGTCCATATGACTTATTGAAATAGTCGAAAGTGACCATGTTGTTTAGTCAACATGATTACTGTGAATAGTCACGACTGTTAGACTGTTATTTTAATTTGTGTTGTGTTTTTTGATCCACCAATTTACTTTATGTGTGTTTCTATCCGTTTTGTACTTTTATGTTTCATTCTTCTGTTATTCTATTTTTTGTTGTTTCTCTTCCATAGGATTGACAAATACATCATCTGGAATATAATATCATTAAAAATACCACAACAGCAAAACTATATATATATAAACATCGAAACCGTATAGGACCACAAAGTGCTCAATGTTCAAAACCTTCCTATATCTTTATGACTTTCATGTGTTACCATTACTCAGTGACATATATTAAAGTCTAAAAATCAAATAAAGAAAATATATTTATTATAAACTCATTGTTAATTTGAAGTGTTTATTTCAGATATTTTTTCGGTATCAACTGTGTCAGTGTAATAATCTCTCTGGTCAAAAATCTCTCAGCTGTGTTCATACAAATAGCAATGTCTTTATTTGCTGAAAAATATAATTATATCATTTTAGAAGCTAAAATATAACAATAAACAAGTATATCAGTCATGTTAAAAGTTAAAAGAAAAAACAAATTTTAAAATCTTTGATCTAGTGATTTTGTCACTCATTTTATACCATTATTTTGTAATGTAAGTTCCGGGATCTTGACAGCCACCCATCTTATACCATAACATTGTAATGTAAGCACCAGGATCTTGACAGCCACCCATCTTATACCACAACATTGTAATGTAAGCACCGGGATCTTGACAGCCACCCATCTTATACCACAACATTGTGATATAAGCACCAGGATCTTGACAGCCACCCATCTTATAACACAACATTGTAATGTAAGCACCAGGATCTTGACAGCCACCCATCTTATACCACACCATTGCAATGTTAGCACCAGGATCTTGACAGCCACCCATGTTATATCACAGCATTTAATGTAAGCACCAGGATCTTGACAGCTACCCTGAGGGTTTTTTTTTTAATTCATTGTTGTGAATATCGATTGCAGTGTTTATTTTTAACAGTTTTTGATCAGGTGAAAAATAGATATCGCTAAATACTCTTTTCAATCGAAAATACGTTGTATGTGTATCAAAATTGATATCCCGTATACATATCTCCCTCTGTTTTGTATTGTCATTAATTTACGTCAACATGTGCCGATATATTACATTCATTACACTTTTTCTAAAATTTAATTTTTGTAAGTTAGAATTAAAACAAATGTACATGATACTTACTTTAAACAATTGGTTTAATTGACAAAATAGCAGTTTCGTGCCTCCTGGTTTGTTTACATCTACACGATCTAGGGAACAAAGGGAACGCGAAAGAGTGCGCGTGAAAACCGATACTCTACACCACGTGGAGCTGTGACCATCTTACATAGTCAATTGACTATGCAGGTAGTCATAATGACTTGATGGGTAGTCATATATGCTGTTGACTACCTTTCAGCTAATATTTGACTAACTGAATAGTCATAGTGACTAATTTAAATTTTCAGTGAACGCTATGACATAATTGATTACATATAAACAAAAAATAACACTGAGTTACCTCGCAAAAAAATCAAACAACATTTGGAGGAGCACTTTCTTAGCCCCCCCAACCGCCAAATTTCTATCATTATTTTTGTGATCTATTCTCTAATCAATTCAACATCCTTTAAAACAGGAATGCTATATATTGATTTCAAACTATTTTGAGCATTTTCTACAAAGATATGAGTCCTGAAAGTTTGACCCCATTTATCTCAATTGAAGTGTTGCAAAACTTTTGTTTAAGTAGTATATATGTAACACTAATACCGTGTTCACACTATAAAATCTGCACCGGGTCGAACCCGGGTTAATTAACCCGAATTAACTACCCCAGTTCACACTAGATAAAAAATTAACAAAAATAGAAATGTAAGCGCCAAAATTGTAACCCGCATCTATTCACTGTACATATTTTCATTTTCTTTTTCATTATAGATGCATTTTTTCGAATTCTGATTTTTTTTAACGTACTTCGTCACTTTATCCAAATTGCACACATTTCGCCCACAAAAAAGCGACGGAAATCTTATAGGTTTTATCATTTGTCATTATGCAGGTTTTTCAACATAGATAAAAACACTTATATCCTTCTTGCTGCCGCTAATTTAATATGGGTTATATAATTCGTGAGTAAGTAAATACGGTAACTGGAAGTCTGTCAAAATATGACGTCATTCGATATATGAAGTCACGTAATAGTTACGTCACATGGAAGACTTATTTAAGCAAACGTCATATGTCACTATAGCAACAACCTCACATTAACTTCACTTTGCGTTCACATTTAGAAGTGAAGTAGTTAACCCGGGTTCGCCCCACATTAACTCCACCTCAAATGAGGGGTAATTTTAATCCGGGTTCGCCCCGGGTTAAGGCGTTCACACTACCTAAATTTAACCTGGATTAACTAATTCGGGTCGAACCCGGTTTAAAAAGGCATAGTGTGAACGGGGTATTAGAAACTAATCACCCATAACGTGTTCGATTCCCCCCAAACGTGTCCATATGACGTCACGAAACTGCAAAACATGTATAGTTGCTAAAGGGCGACCAATCGTGTCCAATACAATTTTAATGCTCTCTCGTCCGACGGGAAAACCAGCATGTCATTAGTCTCATCAACGTTAAAACAAATTCTGTGGTGTGTTTCATGATTTGTCTTT